ACACGCAGGTTGTTCTAATAAAAAATAGAAATTAAAGCATAAAATTCAAAGGCAAATAGAAGAGAGAGCAAGTTCAAATAATACTAAAATAATATATCTCCCCTTGATCCTTATAGACTCTGCTTACAGTTAAAAATTAGCTCTCTATGGCTAAAAACACCAAACATGCTAGTACTGATAGCACTTGTTTTAGTCTAGGTATTGTGTGTGATGCTGGTTGGGGGGGAAAAAAAGGTCTTGTGTGTGATGTTAGCATTTTGTTCTTGTCCCTTTGGCATTGTTAGTGTGCATTTATACCATGTTCTATAGTTTTGTCCTGCATTGTATTGCTTTGTCTATTAATCATGCAAGTATGTATTTAGGCAAAAACAAAATAAATAAAGAAATTGCAGAAATGATAGTTAAGTTTAGAAAAAGACTAATTTAAATCTAGTACTACATAACTTATTTTTTAAGTATTTCATTCAACTTATTGTTATGCTTCTTTCCTTATGCATCTAATTTATCTCTTTCAGGTAGTTTGAGGCAACAGAAATCTGATTTCTTTTGGGGCATCACAATTTCTACTTTTATATTAAGTATTACAGCTATGGGTGCATATGTAAAGTATGGAGCTTGGACTATGGTGTTTGATCAAGAACCAGTTTTTAGGGATTTTTCACTAATAGAATTTTATTTTAGAATTCAAAAAATTTATTAGAGAATGTTGAGTGCTCAAGTAACTAATTTCTTTCAAATTGTATAATATTTATATATAATGTATTGGATTTTAAATCTTATAAATATAATTTTTTGATTTAATATTATTCTCTTGTTATTATTCAATGATAATGTTGTGTATTATAATAAATAAAAACAAATAATTAAAAACAATTATGTAAAATTAAAGAAAACCACCTTATTTGACGGTTCTTCGTGAAGAACGGTCAAATAAGGTGAGCTTATTTGATAGTTATTCACAAAGAACTGTCAAATAAGGTCACATTATTTGACAGTTATTCATAAAGAACCGTCAAATATTAATATTTGACGGTTCAAAACCATCAAATAATGGTTTTGAGAATATTTGACGTCTTTTTATTTGACGGTTCTAAACCGTCAAATATAAACAAAAATAACCGTCAAATATTTCTAATTTTGTAGTAGTGTTGGTTTTACATTTTGGATGTCTTGCATTGTTTATTTTATGTTTTTTATGTGCTTCAGATGTTGATTGGTGGCATTTGATGTTAGAAAACCTCTATTCCTTCCTATATACGGCATTAGAAACATGTTTAAATATTTAAAGTTGATTAGTTTTAAAGTTTTTGATTTTTTAAATAATTTTTTGATATTTATTTCGAATTTTTGGTAATAAACTTAAGAATTTACTAATAAATAATATGTTCAGTGTTTTGTGCAATTTTTTTTTTATTATGAACTATGATTGATGATAAAATGTTGTTTAAAATTTTATGGTAGATTGATATCATTTGTGTTCCCGTTTTGGATTCAGAAGTTTTAGCTTTAAAAATTTTTATTCATTGAATTGGTTTGAGATTGAATTGTTACTTTTGTTTTATTTGTTATATTTTTTCAAATTTATCCTATCTTTATTTATTGCATTATTGGTTTGGTTGATTGATTGATTTCTTTATTTTTTAAATAATTTAGGATTTGTTATAGGGAAAATTAGAATGGAGGACCTAAAGGGAATAATATTTTTACAAAAATTTATTTCTTTAAGTATATGTTTTAATTTATTTTTACAAAAAGCTAAATTTTATATACAAATCTAATTTTATTTTTTCTATGACATTAAATTAGAAGCGAGCTAAGTGTTTCAAAAGAAATTATATTAAATTAATTTAAAATTTTTATAAAACTTTATGCATGTTGAAATATGTTATGAAGAATCGTTTTGATTTTGATTAAAATAATAAAAATAATTTATTATTAACTATTTTACAAAACTTATATATGTTTGTCTGATTATATATTTCGCTCAACATTTTCGCTCATTCACTATATATAACTATTTTTTTAGAAATTACTTAATCTAATTTTAAAAAGTAATTACAACTATGCTCATTGACTCTGTAGAATAACAGATCGTAGTTGGATGAAAGCTAAAAGAATTAGCAAAGAATATGAAGATGGGGTTGAAAAGTTTCTTGAGTTTGCTCAAAGAAATGCCCCTAGTAAAAGAGATGTATTGTATTACTGTCCTTGTGTCAAATGTTTAAACAATAGTCGGCGGAGTATTCCTGAGATAAAAGAGTATCTTATCTGTGATAAGATAAATTTGAGGTATACAAATTAGATATGGCATGGAGAAATTAGAAAGACTACACTGTCTGGAAAAGAGAAAGTTGTGAATGAAGACTTTGGTGATAGAATTTCGGATATGTTTCGTGACATGTGGTCTGAGTCCTCTACACAGTTCTCTCCCACATGTGAAACCTTGTGTAGTGAACTAGTGATGCAGAGACGCCTTTGTAACCAGGATGTCAAGATGATTACACAAGGTTGACAACCGTGTTGAAATTGATGAACTTGAAGGCAAGAAATGGTTGGACCGATGCTAGTTTCACAGAATTGCTTGAATTGTTGAGTGATATTCTTTCAAAAGAGAATTCACTTCCAAAACGAATGTATGAGGCAAATAAAATTTTGTGTCCAATAGACTTGGAATATGAGAAGATACATGCGTGCCCTAATGACTGTATATTGTTCAGAAATGAGTATGAAGGGTTAAATAAGTGCCCTAAATGTGGGACTTCAAGATACAAAGTTAAGAGAGATGATGGTGATTATAATGAGATGACTAAAGGTCCTCCTTTGAAGGTTATGTGGTATCTTCCAATAATACCACGATTTAAGTGTCTATTTGCTAATACCATAGAAGCAAAGAACTTGAGATGGCATTCCGATGAGAAAATATATGATGGAAAGCTTCGTCACCCAGCAGATTCTCCTCAATGAAAAACAATAGATCAAAAAAAATTTCAATTTGGTAATGAGTCAAGAAACCTTCAATTAATGGTTTGTACAGAGGAAATCAATTTGATGAGGGACACTTTGTCAACAATATTGCTACAAAATTTTGAAAACATAAAATAGTTAGGTCATTCCTCACAAAGTTCATTGTTAGATTATTAACTAGTTGATTATTTGTTGATATATTATGTGATTCAATAAGAATTGGATGTTAGTATTTATATGGTCATCTTGAAATTGTTTTGCATATTTTGCTCTGCCTTGATTTGGGTCTGTAAACTGCAGGGAGGTAGTAAAAGAATTCATGCAGCATTTTATAAAAAAAATTAAGTTTTTAACGATGGTTATTTGTATAACTACCATAAAATTATTTATCACGGCGATTATATTAATAACCACCGTGAAAAAATGAATTTCCACGACGGTTTTGTAAATAACCACCATCAAAAATTAAACTTTCCAAGGTGGTTTTGTTTTCTACAGCGGTTTACAACCGCCGTATTTTATTCTCCTTTTAACGTCAACAGTATCCATTTCGCCTCCAAAACTGTCATGAAAAACCTTAAATAACCGCTATTAAAAGCTTTTTCTTTTTTGGGCAGTGTGGTTTAGAAGGCAAGCATTTTAATAGAACATGTAGTTCCTTTCCCACTCAGTGAAAACATGTAGTTCTAAGCATATGTCCATAGTTACAAAAACCCTTAAAATTCTTAATAACTAAGTGAAACATGTTAAAATATGATTTGAAGTTGTTAAGTTTCAAAGGTGAATTCTACTATGCTAATTGTAATAATTGATAATGATCATAACCATGAGGGTTACATGTATTGTTAATAGCTAAAGGGAAGGTGCTAAAACCTAATACGAAATTATTAATTTTTGAAGATAGATTTTGTTGTGTTAATTGTAAAAAGTGATAATGATCATGGTTATGAGGGGTACGTTTGTTCTTAATAGCTAAGTGAAACATGTTAAAACTTAATTTAAAGTTGTTAATTTTTAAAGGTGGATTCTACTGTATTGATTGTAAAAATTGGAAATGATCATAATTATGATTATGAAGGGAATGTTTTGAGGCTGTGAAGTTTTGAAGGTGAATTCTATTATGCTAATTGTAATAAGTGATAATGATCGCAGCCATAAGGGTCACATGCATTGTTAATAGCTAAAGAGAAGGTGTTAAAACCTAATGTGAAATTATTAATTTTTGAAGATAGATTTTGTTATGTTAATTGTAAAAAGTAATAATGACCATGGTTATGAGGGGTAAGTTTTGTTCTTAATGGCTAAGTGAAACGTGTTAAAACCTAATTTGAAGTTCTTAATTTTTAAAAGTGGAATCTATTGTATTGACTATAGAAAATGAAAATGATCATGATTATGATTATAAGGGCATGTTTATTGTTAATAAATAAGTGAAACACATGCTAAAACGTAATTAAATGACATGGAGATAATTTTCCAAAATTCATAAATCCCAATTTAATACTTGAAGACTTATTCGTCCTTTGTGAAATTAGAATGACTTCTTTTAGATTTTAGAATTCCATAGGTATTGACAGTTATTTTTTTAATCATTAAGCGTTATTAAATATGAGAAAATCTATTGTAAAGTAAATTTAAGACATGTTAGTGCATAAAGTGAATTGGGTTTTACAGTTAGAACTAAAATAAAGTGAATTGAGGTTTTTATTTATGTACACAAAGTAAATTGAAGTTTTATACTTAGAATTGAAATAAATTCCCCAACTTCCATTTAGAACTAGAGAGAGTATATAATAGGGGGCACATATATAAGATAAACAAACATTAAAACTAACAAGCTGTTGATGAGATGGTATGTGATCTCACCCCGTAAGGAAGATAACACAAGTTTGAATCTAAGAACTTGCTGGAAGGACTTTAATCTTAACGTTCATGAATTGATAGAGATTACTCTTAAGTTCAAAGTGATCTGGGGAGACTCTAAATTTATACCCAAAAAAATAAAAGAAAATGATTTACAAAAAGGGACAAAATCTCTAAGGATGGCATGCAGTGGAGCTTGGTCTTGGTGGAGAAATGGGTAAATTATCGGAAGGGCTAAAGAAAGAAATTTGTGATGACGAGTTTAAAACTTTCCATTGGCGACAAGAAGTTGAAAGCCTATGAAACGACCTCGACCTTGACGATGATGATACTCTTCTTGAATGGTTTAAATTGATCCTAATACTGAAATAAATAAATCACAATATCAAATATTAATTCAAATAAATACACATCAAAGCATGCAAAATTAGTTATAAGTCTATAAAGCATACGAATATATGAACAGAAAAATACTCACTTTTGGTGAACATCAACATATGCATCAGTTTCATCCGCAATATCTTCCTTCACAAACAACAACAAAAAAAAAAGTAAAATTACCATGAGTCATCATGAAATTAATAACAAATATGAAGCAACTGTAAGATATTATGTATAACAACAACAACAACCTGAAGAAGCTCCTCCATAATATCTTCCAAAGTTATGATTCCAGTAACTTGCTGGTCATGATTACTTTGAAGAGAATGATCAGAATTATTCTCTTGTGGATCAATCTCATGGATTTGTTTTAATTTCTTATGTTGTTGTAGTGGATCTGAACTGTTGTTACCCTCATTGTCCATCATATTCTTTAGTGTTGCGCTATAGTATTCAGTTTCTAGTGAATTCCAGTCTGTGGAGATGCTCACATAATCTCCCTTCTCAATCGAAGCACCAACTCCTACATAATATGATTAATAGATTTTCATACTACAATTTTAAGTCCCATATGACAAGAGTCAACTTGGAGTTTCATAGGAAAGATGAAGAAGCGTCAAGCACAAATTCCTTAGAACATTATGAATTTTGATTATAAGAGTCAAAGCCATAATAATTTTCTTGAGAAATATCGAAACACCTTTATACATGCCAAAATCAATTATATATGAACCGAAAACTGAACACTTTATATATCAAAATTAATTATGAACCCAAAACTATGGTTATCTCATAAGTTACCAAACATGCCTATACATGCCAAAATCACTTATGAATAAAAAAAAAATCATTGTTATTTTGTAAGTTACTATTTTGAGCTTTTCAATTTTATAATTGATTCTGGCATGTATATAGGAGGGTTTGGTAACCTATGAGATAACCATGATTTTGGGTTCATAATTGATTTTGGCATGTATATTAAGGTTTTTTTTTTGGCACATATATGTTCGGTGTATGGGGATATTTTTCAAGAAAATATGAGTATTTATTTGCTCTCATATTGTAAGCATCAACCAAACAGGCCCTCAAGTAAAAGGTGAATTCAGTAAGAGGTGGCAAAAACTCATCCCAACAGCCCATTTGCAGCTTAGGACGGCTGAAATTAAAATGACTTTTTAATTAGTTGCAAAAACAGACGGTTAAGATAGATAGATTCTTATGACCACCTCTTACTGAATTCAAATCCTAAGATTCTTGCCTTGACGTGCATCAATGGAAGTAGTTCTTGTGTCCTTTTGGTTCTTCATGACAACGGCCATGTGGCTTTGACCCTTCTTGAATTGAGTTAGTATATCATATAGTGGCCAATCTTCACCCACTCTGTTTATGGACATTCATGTAGGGTAATCATCAGTTAATGATATAATTAATTAAGAACAAGAAAAGTTAAAAGCAGATTTGGTATAAACAAACGGACCAAGCTATATGATATATAACAGAGACAGTATGTCAAAATTATAAGGCGTGTATTATTGAAAATCAAGTCATGTACATTTAAGTAATTGAGAGATTTATTTTGATGCTAAATATATGACCGTAGTAGTATTTAATGCTTTCCTGTTTATTAAAAAAAAATTAAAGTATACATTTACTCCTTTATTTTTATACAAGGTTTTAGTTTCATCCTTCAATTTTAAAAAGTACGAGTATATTTTTAGTCCTTTAACTCTAATATCGTTAGTCTTAAATAATAATTTTCTATAACAATTATAGCTGTTTTGTAATTAAATTTAATATGTTAGCATTTAAAAATGTTTTATTAACATTCAAGATCTCAACATTATCATTTTTTGTTAATAGTTCTATAATTAAGATACTAAAGGTATACTTTTTAAAATTAAAAGACTAAATTAAAACATTGAGCATAGTTAAAGGACTAAAAATATACTTTAGTTTTTAAAAAAATAGTTAAATTCATTATTTTTGTGACAAACACGTATTATTTTTTTTAAAATACTCCCTTAATCATTAGCCTAATAGATGGAATCCCATTTTAATATATGTGATTTATAGGGATGATTTGGAAAAAAATTTATAAATTTGTGAGAAAAAATGAATTGTGGTCATATATTCAGGACCAAAACGAGCCCCACAATTAGTATCAATATTTAGGACAAGAGGGAGTAAGTCCTCCCCCCAAAATATTTCCTGTTAATTGTATATATTAAGAATTTTTTTTTAACGAGGATGCAATGCAAATTATTAAAAGAAGCACTTCAGTGAAACCAACAATTTTTTTTTTTACAAATAATAAACATAACTAATTTATTAATCTTTGAAAAATTATCTAGCTCATATATTTAGACCCAATTGGAGTACATTGGACTAATTAAATTTGAACTTGCGTAGCTCAGTTATAGGAGGTAACTTTCTCATTGTGTCTGTTTAATTTTTATTCATAAAATTTGAACTGTCGATCCCTTGTTTAAGAAATATTGAGTCCTATCCACTAATGCAACCAAAACATAGCATTTCAAATGAAAAAAAGAGAGAGAAAACAACTTTACCTTGGAATTCTTCTGACAGTGAGGTGTCTAATAGGAGTTTCTTCTTCAGGACGACAAAATAATAAATTCTTTACCTACGCATGAAGAATGAAACAATGATTACCTTTTTAATTAAGATTGTGTAATATGAAACAAGGGTCTTCAGTTAATAATTAATTAAGTCTTTAAGTTTGTAAAACAATGATATCAAATTGAGTATGATCAAAGCAATCACGAAATCAATTAACTCATGTAATTATAAAAGGAATCATTTATGTAATTAATTAATACAGTGATTCTCTGTTCTTACCTAAATTTTATGGTCAAATGAATTCATTTTGTAAGTGGATTACAAACATCATAAGAATTACTTGAAAATCATTTGAGTACTAAACAATTAATGTTTTGTAAAGTAAATTATATAAACAGAAACCACGAAGTGCTTAGCTTGAGCATGATCTTTCTTCTTTGGAATAGATTGCCTAGTTACTGTATGTCCGTATACACATTAAAAAGCTATTGTAGTCATCTGTTTTATTTTTTGAGCTTAATTAAATGGCATCGAAATGATTGTACTAATTCTTCTATAAAAGAATTTCAATGATAGAAAATAAAATTTAACATTGTTTGGTATTTAACTTACCAAAATAAGACCAATAATATTTGTTGGATTCCCAGAATAGATTGGCACCCGACTGTGACCTTTGCTCATTATCAAGCCCATCGTATACCTATGTCAACGAAATTAATGAATATACAGTTAAGCCCATCGTTAATGTCATTTGTAATTCTTAAAATTTTATTTTATTTTAGTTTTAGTTCCTAAAATTTAAAAATAATAGTTTTTGTTCCTGAACCAAAAATCTTTAAGCGAACCAATATAAAATCATATTTCAGATAACAAAATCAAAATAAAGTCAAATTTTAAGGACTAAAATCACTGCTTTCAAATTTTAGAAACTAAAATTTAAATGAGTTTAAATTTCAAAGATTAAAGATGGTATTAACCTCTTTTCTAAATAGAAATTGTGGCTGACTATCTCATTTAATTTTTTTTCCTCAATTTTGACATAAATTATTTTTAGAGGTCAAATGTTCATAAGAAATATAATGGGACACATACGTGTCAAGTTTGGAGTTAATATCAAGAGAAAATGTTTGGCTTATTGGTGTCATTGCATGCTTGGCTGTCTTGAGCGTCAAGTCCAAGGCTCCAGCAATTATTGAAGTTTCGTGGCGTGTCAATTCTCCACCTTTCCCTGCCTGACAAATGAGTCTCAACATGCAAAACAAAAATAAAAACACTACACTAAAAAAAAAAATTATACCAATAAAACAAGTATTGAAAAATTACTACGAAGCCCTAAGAAAAAAAAATATGTCGCCTCGTTTGGTTTCTCATTTTGAAAACAGTTTTTTGTTTCAAAAAAGTAAAAAAAATTATTTAGCAATTTATTTTTAGTCAAGTGTTTTTTTTTAAAAAAAAAAGAAATATATTTTTAAAAATTAAAAAACTAAAACAATTTTTTGTTGTTTTCTTTTTGTTTTTATATTTCTATTTTTTTGAAAAAATTGGGAACATTTTCTTTTCTATTCAATGACTATTTCTCCATTTGAGTATTGAAGTTACCATCCAAACTTCACTCTCTGATCTCAATATATTTATTTTCAAATCTAAGTTTTTAGAACAATTATTCAAACAATTTTTTTTTCAAAACTGGTTTTAAAAACTTTTTATAAAATTTTTCGGGAAAAAAAAACAAACACACCCATGATCACTAAAAATCCTAATAACAAGTGAGTGGCATGGATATTGTCATTATTTTCTACAATCAAAATTGTCATTAAGTTGTTACGGGACATTTTAATAAAAAAAATTTGGTCAAAAGTCCCTATTTAAAAACTTAATTGATTAAAATGATCTAAATTTGAGTGAGTGCAACTATGATTCGTGAGTACAAGTTTTTTTTCCACTTTGTGCAATATATTATCAATGATGTGTAACAATCGTTAATATAAAAGTCATTTGCATATAACAGAAGATATGTTGTACACAGCAGAAGAAAAGTTGCACTCATGGTCATAGTTATACAAGCTCAAATTTTGGTCCTTTTAGCCAATTAAGTTTTTAAATAGGGATTTTTTTTCACCAAATTTTCCTTTTAATAAAGACATTTTATTGGAATTTTCTGAAAGATTTATACACTGATCACTCAACTTATATAAATACAGCCGAAATAGAAAATATTATGATCAAATATATGAAATTAATAATATTGTTTCATCTAACCTCATTAGCATGTAAATTCACTAAAGTCTTGAGTTCTGCTCGTCCTAAAAGTGCAGCATGCCCCTTTCCAAGCAACCAATCCAAAACCTGTTGTCGCCATGATGAATAATAAGAAAAAAAATTTCAGGGATATAACATGTTTCTATTATAATAGACACAAATAGTTTGGTTTATCATTACTTTTCGCTTTTTTTATTCTCATTGATTATTAGTTAGTTTTACAGCATTCATTGTCCACATGAGCTCAAAAATTATTCACTTTATCCGTTGTTTTTGAAAAGTAAGTTGTGTAGCAGATATTATATTGCCTCTAACCAATTAATAATGCTAACTTTTTAATCTATGCAATTGGATTATTTATATCTTATAAAAATACCGGAGAGAGTATCTTAAGAAAAAGATAGAAAGAGATATTGTCAAATATTAATAGACGGCAGTCGGTTCTGTTCTTCAACTACTCATTAAATGGATCATATGAATATCACATGTAGTAATATTACTCTAGATATACTGATCCATATAAAAATGATACTATCTTCGATCCTTAATATAAGAACTAGATAAATAATTTAAAAATATTAAAAAAATTAGTTAAATCAGTTATCCCTTGGTGAGAATCTCTTACAATCAATATGAATATTTTGAAAAAGACAGGAGAAAAAGTTAATTGATATCTTATATTTAAGATCAAATTCAACAACCAACTAGTTTTTATATTAAAGAAAAATGTAATAGTAATTTCACAGGTTATAATAACTTAACATTTGTCTTCTAAAATCAGTTCAGGTAATAAGAATAAGATGGAGTACTGTGGGTGAAGATAAGTATTCGAACCTTAATTTATTTTTTCCCTGAGAGAAGCATGTCTATAAACAATCAAGATCGACGTTACCTTCTCATTAATTAATTAAAGAATATCCACTGTTGGATGAAAAATAATTTTGACTTAAAAACTAAATTTATAAATCAAGATACTTATGATTTATTGTTGCGTGACAGAAGAAATTAAATATGACTGCATATTTCACTTTAACTTGAAAAAATATATATAGATAGATTTAAAAATCTCATTATGTCGATAATCAATTAAAGAATTAGCTTTTCACTCACACCCACATATTTGTATGCCTGTATAAATCTCCTAATCACCATTAAGTATTAAGTGTTTAATTTTAATATAGTAAATGTTGTGTGTGTGTGTGTGTGTGTAGAAAGATGAGTTAATTACCTTGCTAATTGGATAAGCAAGGGGAAAGAAAAGCAGCAAAAGTGCTCGAACAAAAGGAGACAGCGTTGCACCAACACTTAATCCATATCGAGAACACAGCGCTTGAGGGATAATCTACAAGATTAATAAATCGTATGATTAATTAATACAAAAAAATAAATTTAATTAAGAATAATGATGAATATATGTATAAATAAAGAAGATAAATCTATATTCATTATTATTATTCATAAGCCATATGATGATGAATAACTTACAAAAATTCTATGCAATATAATGCACAATAAAATGTGTTTAGTTTATTACAAATTAAAACAAAAATTACCTACCTCTGCAACGAGCCCTATAAGTGTGCAAGCGAAGATAACAGCAAGCCACTCAGGAAACATTTTCTCCATGACAATAGACACTCCCTTCATCAATAATATGAACACAATTTTTATTATACTGTTCGTATCTATATATATATGTATTTATATTAGAACTTACAAGAAATCTCTCTTTCTCTACTCAATAAATAGCTATTCAATTCACAACAACAATAATCAATGTTTCATCTTTATTTAGTAAAAAAAAAATAGACATTTCATTAAAAAAAAAAAAAGACATTTACACAACATTTCAATGTCGAAATCAAATTTGGAACGTTTCATTTTTCTCAAAAAAAATAACAGAATTATCCCCTTTTCTTAATAAAAAAAATTAGATAATTATCCCGCAGGCATACATACATACAAATAAGGATTGAATGGTTGAGAGCAATTTTGATGGAGTAAAATTACAGTAGGACCCAGCTAGATGAGAAGCAAGATTAAATATATGTTGATTATCCAAATTTTATTCGATACTAATAGGTCTCAAATGATGATGATGATGATGATGATGATGATGATGATTATTATTATTATTATTATTATTAAATGAAATTGGAGAGACCAATTTGTATTCAATTTTTTACTCACGACCTCTGGGTAATTTTTTATTTCTTTTCTTTTTGAAGTAATGCATTTAATTTGATGTTGTTTATTATTAGTTAAGTAGTTTTTTTAAACCATGAATAGCTACAATAGTTAAAGGTTAGTAAATAGTTCAAAGAGGATGACAAGTAAAGTTACAAAGAATAAAAATAACATAGTTAATCAACTTAAAAAAGATATTTTATATAAATAATTAAAATTATATAAAATATTACAGCAAGTACACGCTATGCCTAATAAAACGGAAGGAGAATGGGATTTAAAATTCTTAGTCAGGCAAATATATTATTTCACTCCATTTCTTTACCGATAATCCACCAATAAACTTAAACTAGCCCATAGAGATATTTGACACAAAGAAAAATATCTAAGAAAGTGTCATTCATCAATATATCAATAGCAATATTACACACACACACAACTTCTTTTATTAAATTATTTAATTATAACATAAGTTATATGATCTTTTTAAAATATTTAGGTATATCATTAGACTATATATCAATTTATAAGAGTGACAAATTAGTTTAAAAAATGATAAATATAAATACTTTAAGATAATTTATTAACTTTCTTAATCTTTTAAATAAGTCAATTAGATCTTACATTAAGGATACGAGGTAATATATGACATACATATACATGCATACGCGCATATAAAGTAATAATTTTAGACTAATGTGACTCTCCATTGTATCAAAACAATGAAACATACCCATAACAAAAAAAAAAAAAAAAGGAAACCAATGGTGTATGTTTCATTATTTTGACGAAAAAGCAGATTCACTGTGTGATGGTGCGTGAGTGACATTTGTCACTGAATTATGTATTCTTAACGTGTTTAAAATTTTATAAATTGGAGAATTATGTCTAAAGATTAAATTCACAAATCTTTTATTTTAAAAAAATGCTAATGATGTACATACTCATTTGATTTTTTAAATTTGTATTATTTCGGTGGTAAATAATGTTAAATAAATATCTTTTCGTTTACGAATTTGCATTCTGTGAATAATAGATTTGAGAATACTTTTAATAATTAATTTATAATTCTGGTTCTTCATTATGATTCTTCCATTATAATTATAAATCATTGTAAAGATTTACATTTTTTATCTAGTCTTCATATATATCAAATAAATTTATTGAAATACAGCTCACAATTAGAATCAATAATCTTGGGAATTGAAGATTTAGGCATACCTCTAGGGCCATCGTTTTGGCGAGGAGAAGAGTACATAGAACTAAATGCTCATTCTTAACAATGGACGTAATCTTCTCTGCAGACAAAAAATAGCAACCTTTTCATTAATTAGTTTGAATTTGCCGGCAACAATTAAACAAACAAAAAAGAACTTTGATTTGGCTAAAATGTTTTATTGATACAAGAAATATCACAATTATATAACTTTTACTTGTATTTCTTATATGAGAAAATATTTTTATGAAAAAGTTTTTTCCTATTTGAGTTTTACATCAATATAATTAGAATTTATGCTTGTACTTATATGAAGCTTGAAGTGCATTTTACCGTTCAAGACTTATGAATATTATAGTTTTCTATATTATACATAAGTATAGATCTACAGATTTTGTAAGCAAAGAAGTTTCTCAAAATTTAGCAAGTAGATAATTTATTTTAGGCTAAAAAATACTTTTAGTCCTTTAACGTATATATACAGGTTTCAATTTGGTTTATATTAACTTTAAAAAATATATTTTTGATCCTTTAACCTTAAAAATCATTTGTATTAAATGATGATTTTAGATTAAAAATATACTTTTTAAAGTTAAGAGACCAAACTAAAATTTTGTATAAAATTAAATTATAAAAAGTATACTTTAGCCTAATATTTGAGATATTTACCATGAAGAATCTTACAATATTAAATTATTCCCGAAGCTCAAATGATGTTAATTTTTTTTAGTAAGTTGACAAAAATGCCTTCATAGTGAAAAACTTTAAATTTGGAAATAATAGTGGTAATAATATTATGATTTAATAATCTTAAAATTGCTTTGCAACTTCCTTACGTTGTAATTTGTATATGTAATTTCCTCCCCATTTTCTATAATGAAGAAAAAAAGATTTGATAGAGAGAGCACAAACCTGCATGCTTTTGGATTTTAGGCTGACCAGCTCTAACAAAGACCTCAAGGTCAACTTGGTTGAATGACAAGAGCCCTAGAGCGAGTCCAGACGTAATAGCAGCAAACACAGCTAGAACAAGACTCATCACAAGTAATATCCAAAAAGAATCCTCACAACAATGATGCTTTTCTTCAAAGAACTTACTCATTTTTTCTCCTTTAGAAGAAGAACATAACATTCATATGCTTCTTAATTTGCTAAACTATCATATCATCAATTTCAATAAGAGAGAGACATTTATTAAACTTTCGGTTTATGCAGATCAAATTAAGGCTATATATATTGAGCTTAAATGATATATAAATGAGTTTATATATGACTCCTGGGTGCTCGCTAAGAGGCAAGTCATATATTGTGGAACTCAATTTGACAGTTTGCGCGTTTGACAGACAAAAACAATTTAGTTTGAATATTATTATTCTTTTGGGTGATTTTATAATAATAATAATAATTAATACAACTGTAAGTGCAGTCCTCGTATTCTCGTTGGCTGACATTACAATGTGGGCATCACATTGTGTGTAGTTGACATATTTTCAATCAAATTCTAATGGTATTTTGTCTGTCAAGGATGACAATGACATTTAAGTATTAGAGGGTGGATATATAATAGAGTCGTAAAAACGGATAAGGGGGTTTAGAATTTCTCCCTTAAAATAGGAAATGGGTTTAAAAAAGGTACCCTACAGGTTGAGGGTTTAAACAGGTGGATCCTGCAAGGCCAAGGGCCAACTTGTTTAGGCCATTTTTATAATTTTTTGAAATTTTTTATATAATACTAATATTATTAATTTTTTATATTATTAATGATATTTTAAATATTTAGTTGTTATTATCATTTTTTAAATTAAATTTTATAAAATGGTTTGATTTATTTGGTTTTAGACAATAATTTGTTCAATTAAACTTTAAAAAATGGGCTAATTTGGACTTTAGATAATTATTTGATTTATATTATATGTTTTGATATTTTTAAACTCTATATATATATATTTGATAGTAGAGTATTTTCATATTTATATATGTGTTTCTATAATTTGAGTTAGAAATTTATGATTTCAAGAATAATGTATTTTAAACTAAAGGAAAATAATAGCTAGATTGCAGAATTTAGAAGTGAAATTTATTTGAAGAAGAAAAATTTGATATTTTTGCCACCAAAGAAGAGCCTCATAATGAAGTCCAATCAAAATACTGTTGATATTGAAAATAGTGATAAAAATCATGTTGATAATGTTACTATTATTTAGTGTTTAGTTTGTGTTTTGTATAATTTGTTTAATTCTGAACAATAGTTTATCAATATTTAGGACAATGGGTTGATTTGGTTTAATTTTAAAAATTTAGATACAAATTAGGATTTTGTTTTACTATTATGCGAGGCGAGTCCTATTAGAGATCCAATAAGACTTAATTCCGGTTGTTATGAGATTTTACCAAGTAAGACCACTATTAAGAATCTCAACTATAAGGTTAATGTTAAGACCTCAATCTCATGTCATCAGAACTAAACTCAAATCATACAAATAAGAAGATCACTCCCTATAGATTATGTTCAGATTCTTTCTATACACATGATCCCCTTTGAGATGTAAGTTCAAAGCATACTTGATCATTTGAAGAGAAAAATACTAGAAAATCAAGCTCTCGGGGAAATTTAGAAGTTATGCAGGCTCATATTCATGGATAATGGAAAATACAACTCTCGATGCCCCTCCAAAGACTAGGAACATCCTTTTATGTAGACTCAGGGCTTGTTTAGGTCCCCCCAAAACCATGGTTTGGGAGGCAAACCATAGTTTGGGTGGGATGTCACCTAAACAGCATCAATTTTGGAGAAATAATCCAAAACTATAGTTTGAGCCAAAACTATAGTTTCAGAAAAAGTGAATCATTCTACTTCTGGTTCAAATTAGAAAGTATGATTGTACCTATCAGAGTAGATCTCAACAATAATATGACTTTAACATCCCTCAATTATTTTTTTATAAACATATAAATATATATACACATATTAATTATTTATTAATTATATTATCTTATGTATTATTAATTATGTTGGTAAAAAATATATTATTAACAATTTTATTCCTTCAAATTAAAATATATCATAAAATCTATCTTTTATGTAATTATCATATTAACTTATGCTTTTTTTAGTAATTTGTATATATAAAAAGTGCTTCTGATAACAACTATCCAAACATTCACTTCTCAAAATCACTTTTTCACAAAATCTATTCTCTTCAAAATCTATTCTCTAAAAACTATTCTTCCAAATTATGATTTGGTTTCATCCAAATACTTTCTTAGTCCTCTAAGATGAAAACTGAATTATTATAGGCCAACTCTACAGTAGAAACATTCAACACACTCATTACAATAGTACACTTGACACTAAGGACACGTGGATTAAGTTACAATACTGACATTGAGCACACACGTGATGAATAAAGTTACAATAATACATTGACAATAAGCATACTTGTCTTTAGACTTTGTAGCTAGACTAATGACTCGATGATAGGTAAGAGTAGTCTTCACCGTATCCTTCATAATGATTTTCATCTTTAAAAGAAGGGAAAATGACATTGAGGTCCCATAGAGAAGAAAATACATCAAATAGGTCCCCTGAAATCTCATAATTTTTTTGAAGTCCCAAAGGGACCTCAGTGCAATTTTCAGAATTTACAAATTACTGTCTTGCCCTACCCCTGCCATCAGAAACAAAACGAGAGAAGTTCATTTGGGTGAGGAGTTCCCGCCCAATATGCTTGAGAGAGAAGACACAGGGAAAGAGGGAAGGAGCCATTGATGATGAAATATCTTCTCCATTACCATTAGTGAACTCCAAAGAGCTTCCATGTGAATCTCCACAAATGTTCAGGTGTAGAACTTTCTTTCCTCTCCTCTCCTACCTTTCTTGACAGATTGTGCATTTGTTTGGGAATGTGAAATCAGAAAATCGTTTTTGTCTTTTTGGGTTGCTTGTGGGTGGTTTTGGAAATGGGATTCACAAGTTAATCAATAGAAAAGCTGTGTTTTTGGTTGGTGTGTGTTAGTGATTTAAGTTGGGTATGTAGGATGATCATGGGTGCTCTGTTTTTAGGTTGCTTGTGGGTGGTTTTGCTCTGTTTTGATGTTAGTTTTCAAAGGAAGAAGAAGATGAAGGTTAGTGTGGGTGGAAACCCTTAGTACGAAATGGGATATTGTGTTGTCAATCAGGCCGCGACAGTTGTCAATATAGCTCTTTTACTTGTCAATGACAGTCGTGTGATTCTTGATGCAGGTTTAAATTACTGATGGCGGGTACATCTAGAAAGCATCTATTTTGCTTTGTTCACATAGGGGGAAGTTTATAAATGATGGAGAAGATGATATGAGATATGTGGAGGTAGTGTAAGAACAACCAATGTAAAGGAGGGTACAAGTTATGAAGAATTGAAGGAAATTATATCATCAATTGCTGGAAAAGAAAGCAACTCATTTCTTCTGAAATTCTCAGTTGTGTGAAGGGAATTTTTTGTAAATGGATACACACCAATAGTTAGTTTTGTAATTATATGCAACCCCTATGTTTTTTTGGGATGGATTGTGAAATAGGTGTAGTTTTATGTATATGAAGGTATAAATAAAAGTTGGCTATGAATTGGCATATTAGATTCTGCTATCATTTCAGTTGTCATTACCTACACCCTGTATTGTCATTAGACCTGTTATGACTTGTCAATAGAGCACTGTGACTTGTCAATTAATTTGCTGATATAAATTGTCAACAATATGAATTCAAGTTACTTAACCTGTTTTAGTATCATATGATATTTTCAATCACTTTATCATATTATATTTTGGTTATATTGTCATATATAATCATTATTAATGAAGTGTCAATGGTGGCACTATGACTTATTAATGATCGTAGTGTGACTTGTCAATGGTAGTACTATGACTTGTCAATGGTAGTACTATGACTTGTCAATAGTGGCACTATGACTTATCAATAGTGGCACACCAACTTGTCAATAGTAGCACTGTGACTTGTTGTTCGCTGAATAACTTCTTAAAACGGTTGGGTGCCACGACGAATATGATCAGGAGCCACGGCGCCTTACACAGAATGACAGCTACTTGGGACAGATAGGGGAGTCGCGACGGATATAGTCAAACGCTGCGGCGAATTATCAGTTGTCAATGGTGGCACACTGACTTGTCAGTGGTGGCACTATGACTTGTCAATTGTGGCATACTGACTTGTCAATAGTGGCACTATGACTTGTCAATGGTAGCATTATGACTTGTTAATGGTGACACTATGACTTGTTAATGGTGGCACACTGACTTGTCAATGGTAGCGCTGTGACTTGTTGTTCATCGAATAACTTCTTAAAAGGGTTAGGTGCCGTGGCGGATATGATCAGGAGCCGCGGCGCCTTACATAGAATGACAACTCCTTAGAACAGATGGGGGAGCTGCAGCGGATATGGTCAAACGCTGTGGCGAATTATCAATTATCAATGGTGGCACTGTGACTTGCTAATGGAGCACTGTGACTTGTTAATGAAGGCACTATCCCTTATCAATTGAATATAAATTTGAGTAACATCTTCTTCTTAATAATTATATTTTAATGCAAATATTATTTAACATTATAAATAAATGACACGTTCAGTTGTAAAAATTTTGAATATCAATTGTTAATATTCACACATTTATTTGTTATGAAATTGTTAATATCACTTGTCATTAACTCCTGTTATATTAATTGTTATTTTGGATAACTCAGGTATTGTCTATTTTCATGATAAGGTGGTATGGGCTGAGATGGAACTAAAATTTTCAATTCCTTTTTTGTCTGCAAGAATTTCCTTGTATGTGATATGATAATGCTTTTCAGAGTTCTTGAATTGTCTATTAGCATGGCCACAGTAATGATGTTTTCCATCAATCTCTTCAATTAGAGTAGCTCCCTAGTATTCATCACTAGTATCAATATGTAAAATCTTTTGCCCCTTGTCAAGAAATCTTTTTTTAGTAACTTTGACAATTGGCTTGTATGATTTGTCACATGAGGAATGAAGTCTAGGACATAATTGATAATGCCCAAGAACTATTGTACTTGTTTTGTCGACAGATTATCATCCAAGAAAT